TATATATGATAAGTATAATTAGTTTAGACAGCCTACAGTGCTATAGGAATACTCTATTTCTCCCATCTAGCTGTAAATTTTATATCCTGTAACCAATTATCAATTTCTCCCGTATTCCCCTCTCCCCTTCCCAGCCTCTAGTAACTACTTTCTATTTCTATGGTATCAAGTTTAGGTTCTGCATATGAGAAGTATCTGTTCCTGGCTTATTCACTTAACATAATGTCCTCCAGGAGATGACAGCCTTCATTTCTTAATGGCCAAATAGTATTCCATTGTGTAAATGTACCCACACTTTTATCCATCCACTGATAGACACTCGATTCCCTATCTGTGGCTATTGTGGAATAGTGCTTGCTGCAAAAACATGGAGTTGCAGATATCTTTGACATATGCTTGTCTTTAGATATAGGAAGATGCTGCTAATGGAAGCTGGACATAGTTCGATCTATTTGTACTGTTTTTTATTTGTTTAAGACAGTGACTTGCTGTTCCGCCCAGGCTGGAGTGCAGTGGCGTGATCTTAGCCCACTGCAACCTTCGCCTCCCGGCTTCAAGTGATTCTCTTGCCTTAGCCTCCGGAGTAGCTGGGATTACAGGCATGCACCACTGTGCCTGGCCCTATTTGTAGTTTCTTAAGGAAACTCCATACTGCTCTCCATAATGGCTGTACTAGCATCACATTCCCACCAACAGTGATTGAGTTCCCTTTTCTCCAATCCTTGCCAGCATATTTTTCATCTGGTAATAGTCAAAAGTGGAGTTGATATCTCGTGGTTTTGATTTCCATTTCCCTGATTAATGGTATTGAGCATTTTTCATACCACTGTATTTTAGATAGTATCTTTAGAACTCTTGTGCTTGTGAAACAGATACAGACAAGTGGAGCCTGAAACTACTCTGACATTTTAAAAGTGAGCCCTCACCAACCATTGTAGTATTTTCAGTTTATCACTTTAACAGTTTATAAAGGTAATAAAATGTTAAGGCATCAAAATGTGGGGCAAAACATGAACTTTAAAAGACTTATTGACAAATATCTGTTGATTCTCCAACATGTGTTGATTCTTCTACGTGATGGGGATACATAAGACACAAAAATGACAAAAATCACTGTCCATACATTCTGTTGTCCCAAGATAAAGCCCTTGAACTACTTAAAAGTGTAAGAAACAGTTCATACTAGCACACTTACATACGCTGACCAAATTGGGCAATTAACAGAAGGCACCTTAAAAAAGGAAGCTCATTTATGGGGAACACAGTGACATGAAGTACCTGTTCAATCTTAATCTTCCCATCCATTGCAAAGGCAGGCAATTCTTACATCCTAGCCTTTTAAGATGGATATGGCTAGTACAGATGTTCTATTAGTGACACAGCTTAGAATGTGATAAGTGCCTGGTTCCTGTTCTAAAAGCCAAAAGGGGCTAGCTGGATCTCAAGGCATCTTCTGAACCAGTTTCAGTCCTACCTAGTGAAACCAGGACAATCCCCAACCCCCATGCCTCACCCAATCCTGGCCTTAGAAGCAGGGTCACTTCCTACCAGTCCATCTCCCCAAGATTGGCACATCAGAAGCATCATCTCATTTCTCATTGGCTTTACTCCTAAAATGTGTTCCTAAGAGGCTATGATTACTGGTTCAGTTGGTTACCCTTGCTTAGAGACTACATTTCATTAATGCTAACAACTTAGGACAGGTTTGCAGTTAGGTTTTGGTGACCAATTGTAACCATTTTTTTAAAAAAATGCTACTTGCTGTTCCTTTTCCATCTCTCAAGGTGAGGGAACCAACATCAAAACGAAGAAAAAAAATTCATTAACCCTTTTACATCTTCACAGGTTCGGATTCTGTCCAAAGCCCTTTATAAACATTCACAGTTCACTCAACACATCTGGTGTTGTTTTGAAGAAAACGTCAGTGAAGAGTGATGGAGGGTGCTTTTAGATGGTCTGAGCCATCAAGAAAGGCAAAGAAAACCCAAAAAAAAGTCTCACTAAGGCTGGTCTCGAACTCGAGCTCAAGCAGTCCTTCCACCTTGACCTCCCAAGTGCTAGGATTACAAGGGTAAGCCACTGTACCTGGCCCAGGAAAGGCCTCTTTAAGGAGACTGATAAAGAGGCAGCAAGCTGTACCGATTTCTATCACGAGCTTTCTAGGCAGAAGAAATGCAAACCCGCAAGAGACTGCAGTGATGAAAACGTGGCAATAATCAGGGGCTTGAACGTGCAAGCCATGGTATGAGCTCTGGGTTTTGTTCTGAGTGTGAATCACTGCAGGATTACGTACAGAACGGCCTGGTGTCTACATTTCACTCTGTTGGCTGGAGAATAGATTGTGTATGTGTGAAGGTGGAGTGGAGAGAACCTTGGAAGATCTGAGTAGAAGCAGAAAGGTTAGGAGGTTGTGGCAGGGAGTTGCTTCAATGATCGTGGATTGGACTAGAGAGGTAAACATTAAGGAAACATTTTCAAAGACAGCTTGTGGGTCTTGATGGATTAAATATGGAGTGTAAAAAAAATAAAGGATGACTTGATTTGGGTTTTGGGCAACTTTAACAATGACAGTGTCAATCACTAAAAAACTGAAAGTCGACAATAATCTAAGCACAAACCATGAGTTCTTTTTGACGCACATGCCATGTTAAGGAAAGCATCTAAGTGGACTGTTTTTGGGAACTCAGAGAGATCAGGGCTGGAGACAATCTGGATGTAAAGTATAAAGTAGCACACGAATGGGATTTTTAGAGCCAAGAGCCTAGATGAGATCATCCAGGCAGGCTGCACATCAGGGCACTATCAAAGGTCATGATCAGGAAAAGGAGGGTACCGCAAATTAGAGCAGGACCTAAAGAGTCCCAACTTTATGCCACAATTTTCACTAACATGTTTCAGAGACTATTGAAACACACCGACTGATTAAAATTTTAGCAGTAATCTGTATTTTAAATTTCCTTACTCAAATACAAATTATGCATTCTAAGACTTTCAAAACAGTTCTGAAATAACTGCACAATATAGTCAAAACATATTTATTACTTTTCAGTGTCATTTTGTACACTCCCGTACAAATACAAGAATATAGCTGTATTTACAGGTATTGAAAAGAAATCTGTATATTCAAACCCAACATCTAAATACAGTAGCTGGAAGTCCTGAACTACAACAGTTCCGGTGCGCAGAGTGAATTATTTCCCGCATTGCCTTCTCCCCTTTAAAACAGTTCCTCAAAGACACGGTGGTTTTTGAATATAATAAACTGTTTTGGAAATGGGTAACAATTCCTGGCAAAGTTTCAAGAACCTCCTTCCCAAGATTTTAGAAGTGTGAAACGTAAGATTTAGAAGGAAAATAAAACTACTCATTTGGGCTGTTAAAAGAAGCATAATGTCTTGAAACACGGCTGAAACATGTTTTCAGTCTGGAATTACAGTCGTTTTAAAATCAGGTTAGACAAGTTAGAGAAATAAAAAGCATAGGAAAGCTGGATCTTCAGGGGAGTCTCTAATCTTCTTTCATCAAACATATTGTTACAATACCACGACATTTTAGAAGTTTGACTAGAGACTACTAATCTTTCAAAACGGGAGGAAAAAAAAGCCACTCAAGAAGTTCCCTAGAGGCTATTCAGTATTTCTAATTATCTGAACCAAGGTACATGTTGAAATCCATGGCCAACTAGATAAGGAAATTCCAGTCCAGAACATTATGCTTGTTTTAATAGTTATTCCTATTCCCTAGTTAAGGTTAGGAGCTGGATACCATGTCTGTATTAAGGTGCAACATTTAAAATATTTCCACAAAATTTTGTTTTCTGTGTTTAAAAATTCACTACTGGCCGGGCGCAGTGGCTCACGCCTGTAATCCCAGCACTTTGGGAGGCCAAGGCAGGCAGATCGCCTGAGGTTGGGAGTTTTGAGACCAGCCTGATCAACATGGAGAAACCCCACCTCTACTAAAAATACAGTATTAGCCAGGTGTGGTGGTACATGCCTGTAATCCCAGCTACTCGGAATGCTGAGACAGGAGAATCGCTTGAACCCAGGAGGCGGAGGTTGCAGTGAGCCGAGATCAGCCTGGGCAACAAGAGCGAAACTCTGTCTCAAACAACAACAATAATAATAATAATTCACTACTAAGAAATGTCAAATTAGGCGTTTTCTCCTAAATCTATGTGACTAATACATTTAGGGATGTAAACTTAAAAAAAAAAAAACATAGCTACACAGACCAGTAGACTATTAGCAAATCAAATTCAAATTTACCTAAATCACATTGCCATTTGATCAGGAAACATTTGCCTATTACAACAAGCTGCTCACTTCTTTCCAGAAAAGATACAATAAGGTTTCTAGCTTAACACAGCTCTTTGGGGTTTCATTTACATGCACTAATTCAATTCAGCATATGTTAACAATCTCACAGAGGTATGAACATGACAATAAATTAATGACATTTGTCTTACAAAGTACTCTTAAATTATAGGAAAATATCAGCTTCCAGTATAAGATTTTAATTCCTTTTAATTACACTGGAACATTTTTGTATTTTAGAAAACACCAACACTATCGCTTGCAGTTAACTTTTTGAGTTACTGAAAAGCCTCAACATTTAACTTCCATACTTTAAATATATGCTTAAAGCACAAGAACAATTTCAAAATTTATGTTAGCATCTGAGAATGTAGTAACATTGACACTGATATCTAAAATAAAAAATAAGCCCTTGGTGCTGGCAGTTTTGGAAGCACTTATCTGCCCCTACAGAAAAAAAAAAAAAAAATCACCAGAAAACTCTAAACCTATTAAAAAAAGAAAAGAAAAGAAAAAACACCTTTCTAAATCAGATGGCAAGATTTTGAGGGTAAAAGATTTTTTGTGGGTGATTAAGTATTTTTTTTTCCATGCAGAAACCCTTGTGATTTGACACATTACTGGCAGTGTGAAGCTAAGGCCATGTGACTAATATTTTAGCAAAGGAAAAAAAAAGTCAGGTAATTTTATAGTAGCAATAGTTTCTTTTTTTATTTTAATATACTTTAGGAAACAATATACAAAGCTGCGCTTTCCTGCTATTTTCAGATAACAGCAGGAAGCTCCAATTACACAAATTTAGCGTTTTGTGATGGCTAAGAACAGCAGTCAGCACCAGACTTGAACAGTTAGCTACAACACAAACATCCTTCCAAATGAAATGTAATAGCAAGACAGGTAAACCAGGGTTTAACAAATGACAACCACTTGGGAAGTGACTTAATCATTCTTGTTGAATTTCTTATTTCATTAAATATCTTATACACAATTTCCTGTTAATACGTTTTAAACAAAACCTCCCTTAAGGAATTATTTCAATAAAGTATAAATATTCAACAAGAACAGTTCGGATAAAGAATCCCCAGGTAGTTCAAATTCTAATGTGCACTGACCGAAGGAAAAGAAAAATAACAATTTTTGTTTGTTTTAACATGTTTATTACAACAGATACAATTCACATCTGACTAGCTCCGTTTCCTCTTTCCCCTCCCACAACCATGTTCATTGGGCCATTTCCTTATATTTGAGCAATCAATGTACTTTAAGCACACATGCCTGTCCAGCAGTACTTTTAAGTCCATTCTTACGGGGTGCAAATGGATTTCAATAATTTATACAAACAAGTAGGTTATGCTCAATCACTGCAATTTTAAGCTACTGTACACAGGAATGAAAAGGTTATAGAAAAGTGCCATAGCAACAGTGCCTTAAGAAAGGAGATAAAGAGGAGCCTTAAAAAAATGGATAAAATCAGAATTTCAGAGGGAAATGGAACACACGGGAAATGAAACACATTTCTCTGCAAAACAAATGGAGAAGCACTGCTCTTGATCAGGTGCAAGTGTGGAAATAGTTGTTTCGTATTTTGTACACTGCCCATATGGTTCAAAAATCGTATCCTTAGACACAGATCGCCTGGCGCTTCCACTGAATTTTTGAAAATGCAAGATTTCTGAATGATAAATTAACCCCCCCAATTTTTTTTTTTTTTAAAAAAAGCTAATTTTGCAGACAGGTTTACATGTAAAAGGCTAGGTATTTAGCCACCTCAGCATGGATTAGTTTTGGATGTCTAAGCTCTGTTACACATGGCTTCCCATGGCTTCACTCTACAAAACATATTTACAACGTGAAGGATACATCTACAAGAAATCTACATTTCAAGGGTTTTACAAATCAATCTTGTATCTTTCCCCTGAATTGACTCTCACAGACCCTATCCCCTTGTCATTTCCTTTGCCCACCTTAACGGTCCAAAGTCTACTTAAATGCAGCTCAAAAATGTTAAGACTGGGCAACAGATTTACAGTTCCTGTTCTCAAAACCATGTGCAATTATTCACATCTTCACACCATGAAGGAATTCTGATTTTTTAGCTTTTCAAGTTCCTTAATTTGTTGTCTCAAAAATAGTATCCTGAAAAATAAAAGCAGAAATTAGAATCTGTGTATATATACAAATATTACTGAAAACCCAAACTTTTATAATTACAATTTTTTAAATTAAAATAAGTGATTTCTGCCGGGCGCAGTGGCTCACGCCTGTAATCCCAGCACTTTGGGAGGCCGAGGTGGGTGGATCACCTGAGGTCGGGAGTTCGAGACCAGCCTGACCAACATGGAGAAACCCCGTCTCTACTAAAAATACAAAATTAGCTGGGCGTGGTGGCACATGCCTATAATCCCAGCTACTACGGAGGCTGAGGCAGGAGAATTGCTTGAACCTGGGAGGCAGAGGTTGCGGTGAGCCGAGATTGTGCCATTGCACTCCAGCCTGGGCAACAAGAGTGAAACTCCGTCTCAAAAATAACATAACATAACATAACATAACATAACATAACATAACATAACATAAAATAAAATAAAATAAAATAAGTGATTTCTAATTAAGGCAAATTTTTTTTTATAATTTAACTATAAATTAGTTTATAGTTAAGACAAAGTAAATATTTAATACATAATATCTACTAAAGTATCAGAATGGTGAACGGGTATTTTAGTTTTCTAATTATTTATTTATTTATTTATTTATTTTGAGACAGAGTCTTGCTCTGTCGCCCAGACTGGAGTGCAGTGGCACGATCTTGGCTCAATGCAACCTCCGCCTCCCGGGTTCAAGCAATTCTCCCTGCCTCAGCCTCCCGAGTAGCTGGGATTACAGGCACACACCACCACGCCCAGCTAGTTTTTGTATTTTTAGTAGAGACAGGATTTCAACATGTTGGCCAGGCTGGTCTTGAACTCCTGACCTCAGGTGATTCGCCCGCCTTAGCTCCCCAAAGTGCTGGGGTTACAGGCGTGAGCCACTGCGCCCAGCCTTTTCTAACAATTTCTTAATAATTCCTTTGGCAATATAGACTTAAAATTTATTACTTTATAAACCGTATCATCACAAAGAAAGCAGTAGCTATTATACATGAAATAAACCTATACTGCATGTTTTCTGGCCCACTATATAGTAAAGAGTAGAATTAACCAGGTGTAAGAGATTAATCATTTAGAAGAGCAATTCTCAATGTAGATGTAGGTACATAAAAATGAAGCCAAAAACCAAAAATTGAAACACACAAACCCCACAGTTACCCAGATTCCCATGAATGTAAAAATATTTCCTGTTTTTACTCCTCTCTTCTGGGAACTATAATATTTATTGCCTGTAGACATGAATTAGGCATAATCAGGCTGGCTTGATATTTGACTGTATACACTGTTTCCTAAGATGCCATAATGAATTCCTAAAAGTAGAATGACGTAACAAGCCAAAATGAAGTTTATGTTAGAATTACTTTCAGAGCAATCTGAGAGTACAAGAACCCAAGTTGTTACTCAAAGAGTACCTCTAGATATTTTAGTAACTGTAAATAAACTTACTTTTTCAAGTTGTACTATAAACTCCATTTGGTATTTACTAAATATTTATGGTTTCTTGACAAGATTAACTCTACCTGTAACTCTGTGACTTGCACAGACAGGACATAAAGCCACTGCCAAGTCTATCCTCAATTCTGTAATAGGCATTAAAAAAAAAAATACCTATGCTATTATTATTGTGACGTAGATATTCTACTTGAGTGAAACACTAGATCAAGAAATGCGACACAAGAGTTCAGGTGAAAAATACTGAGACAGCAGATACACTAAACTTGCTAGACAAATTCTTTCTATACTTTTCAAGAGATCTATTGGTGATGAAGGACAAATAATCAGAAATTTCCATGGAAACACTCTCAGCAAGAGAGAACATTTATAATTAGTTGTGGTCAATATTTCATTTTTTTAATATATTATTGCAGCTTATGGAGTTATGAGAAAAGTCTAATGAAGCACTCATCATGGGTTAAGAGAAAATCGACAGGCTTTATCCATCACAAGGAATATTAATAACTTATGAAAATGCAATGATAGAATGTGATCAATGTATCAAAGAGAACTTTACATTTCATAAAATGTCATTTACATTCTTTAGTTCGATTTAAGAATCATAATCCTGAGCAACATAAAAATGTATTTCAGGGAAAGACTTACCTTTGCTCTCGCAAAGTTGCTTGAATTTCACATACTCGGACTAAAGATCTTAAATTTTTTAATTCAGTACAAATTTCTGACATGTGAATAGTTCCCATGTTATGCGCTTCTTCGCGTAATCTTGATGCCTGTAATTAATGAACAAAACATAAAATATAAACATTAACATACACAAAATAAAACATTACATTTCTGAGTAAAATTTTATATTTAAGATTAGAGAATAATCCTTCTCCCTTAAATACACAATAATGCTGGTGAATCTAATGGGGAAAATTAATTTCTTTTAAGAAACTGTCTATAAGGGTGGAAGGTACTTATTTTAGTTTTTCTCTTCCAAGTTGGAGAAAATAGGATTTCCAATCTGAAGCTAATACAGCACTAAGAAAGAATGACGCATAATTTGTGGTTAATAAAAGATGCTGGGTCAGCCAAAGAGACTGTCATTTCTGCAAGTTCAGGAATTAGGTATTGATTCAAGAGCCTCACTATACTCCTCTCTATGGTAAGACACACGACATATTCTCTGTAAACTTTCGAACACCCTAGATGGTCAGTTATCTGATAAAAAGAGGCAAATCAACAGTAACTGGAATGTCCTAAGGTGTCTCACCCCAAAGCAAAATAAAACATTTTTTTTTGGGGGGGGGGGACGACACAGAGTCTCACTCTGTCACCCAGGCTGGAGTGCAGTGGTGCAATCTCAGCTCACTGCAACTTCTGTCTCCTGGGGTCAAGTAGTAATCCTGGTGCATCAGGCTCCCGAGTAGCTGGAATTACAGGTACATGCCACCACGCCTGGCTAATTTTTGTACTTATGGTTAGAGATGGAGTTTCACCAATGTTGGCCAAGCTGGTCTCGAACTCCTGGCTGGCCACAAGTGATCCACTTGCCTCGGCCTCCCAAAGTGTTGGGATTACAGGTATGAGCCACTGCACTTGGCCAGTAGATTAACGGTGCTAACGGATTCTGAAACTATCAGAGCAGCTGAGTGGAAAAAGTACACTGGCTTTAAGCCACATCACTGTGTTAATGGGGTGACCTTGGGATCAAGGTTTTATGGACTATTTGGTCTTAAGGACTTCAATGGCAAAATGAGAAAACTCTATCTACACTGCTTAGCTGTTTTAAGAAGTAGAGAAAATAAATATAAGGCACTAAGCACTGAGCTAACTGCTGAGTACCTGACAACAGGGGCGATAATTATGTTAAAATATTCTGTAAAACCAAAAAAGTTACCTTATATGTCAAATATTTTTTAAATGACTACAAAGTTAGAGATTTGTTATTTTAAGTATTGCTTGAATTCAGTGGTCTACATCAGATTTTCTAGAAGTTGATTAAGTTCTGTTTTGCTAATCACCCAAAGGTAAAATCTAGGCTGTACGTTAACATACCTGCTTCTCTGCATGATCTGCAGGCCATCCTTGAACGTGTTTTATGAGATTTTCACTGAAGTGTGCTGCTAGTGCAGGCGTTAATGAACACGTGGATCGGGCAGAAGAATTCTGTGGTACAACTGTTGCATTTGATGCATTACTACTATTAGAAGTATGATTGGGACCAGGTGAAGGACTTCTCTGGCTACTAGAAAACAGAATTGAACGTGTAATATGTTTAAAAGTAGTTTCTGGGTATCCTTATCCTATAAACTGCATGTTAGTACCTTTTATTAACTTAAAGATATCCAAATTCCTAAGAAAAATTTGTTATTTTAACATCAAATAAAGAGAATTAACAATCCAAAGTATATTATTCCTCAAAACACTTTAGGGGGAAAAAGCCTTTTTAACACGACTGTCAGAGTCTAATGTAAACTGTACTCTCCAAATCTGAGAGCAGAACCTGTTAACTTTGTGTACCACAAACACTAATAAGAATATAACTAAAAAATGGTCACATTTTAACAGCTATAGATATAATGCACATCTGAAGACTGTCTCATATACATCTAGGTAAGGGGAAAATATATATTGCCTTTGTTCAATGTCAGAACTGCTGAATCAGAGGGTGAAATAATGTGAAGCAAAATACAAACATTTTGTTGGATAGCACTGAGCAAGCATAGTGGCAAAACAAAATCAAAAAAATAACACTCTGAGATTGTTTATCTTCTTTTAAAACTGAATGGTTTGGGCCAGGGTTGGGGATATGGTGGCGAGAACCAAAAAATTTAATCACCCAAGTTGATCTCCTACCTGCTTCACCAGACTTGGCTCTGAATGAATTTCAGTTATTTCCAAAAACTAAATCTCCCAAAGGATGAAGAGTTTTCATCACTGAGGATATTTAAAATAATACTGCAGCCTCTAAAAACAATTTAAAAGAAGAATTTCCCAAAAATGTTCTGAGCAATGGCAACATTGCTGGAGTAAGTAGACAGCTTCCCAAGGTGATTAGTTTGAAGGGAACAACTCTCATTTGGAGGTATAAGTTCTGAAATGCTTGTTTAGAAAACAACAATAAAAACAACAGTTCAATTATTTTGCTACCTCATAGCATGAAATAAAAAATAGGAAAATCAATCAAATGAAAACCATTCATTCAACAAATGTCATTTAAAGTTGTGTTGTTAATGAACAGAGAAAAGTGCTAACACAATACAGCAGTATAGAACTATCTAAAAGTCATCTGTATAGGGTCACTGTTAAGCTACTGGGAAAGCCTGACATACACGGGAAACATCGGCCCAAGTTTTAGCTAGGAGACTTTGGCTTTCATCAATATACTCAAACCAAAACTGCTATGAGGAGGTTACAAAGCAATGTAATTCCAACAAATATTGTAAAATCATGTGCCTTTCTGGTACAAGTATCACAAATCTTTACCCCATATATTCCACTGTGTAAAATTTTAAAGAGCCACTTTCTTCAAAATAACCCGGGCTTTACTACTAGAGACAATAACCTACCTCTTGTATACAGGTTTGTCTTTGTAAATTTTACAACATATAAGCCTACTTTAGAGTATTCATGGAGTTTAAAGTTGTTATATTTTACAGATACATCTTCAAACAATGCAATATACCAGTATACTATCATTAAACAAAACAATGTGGTCTCAATATACAATATCGACCTACCTTGAGCGCTGAAGACTTCGAGGAGAGACAGGTTCATGACCTTGCTGCTTGTCAGCAGTTACAGGCTGCTGTGTGGCTGACTGTGACACTGGTCCTTGCTTAACTACTGGAGTACTAACCTGAAATGTCAAAATCTGGTGAGATGGTCTCCAAATCTAATCCACATCTCTCCCCTCAAAATCTAGGTAATTGTCTTAGAACATGTAAAATATGGTGTTTTAAAGAAGACTGTCAAGTTCTAAAACTTCGATATCTCATTTCTTTGTAAAAATGGCCCAAAGTCATAAAATTACTTCCCTATCAAACCAGTGTAAGAAACTAGCTCTCCTCCTTTACAACTCAGTTTTCTTTCCAATACATTATTATCTCTTCTGATCTGTTACTTTTATATCAATAAAAGTAAATATGTATGCTACCACATCATACACATATGGATGCTTAGATTTTAATGACATGGAGAAACAATGTGATTCGGCTATCAGAAAATGAGTTATGGCCCATATAAAGTTCATCATGAGTGTTTTTCAAAGAGATGTTACTCTACAGAGGTAGACTGAAGTCCATGATTGCCAATCAGGATACATATTATATTCAGAAGCCACAGAGAGAAAATAAGCAGTTTAAAATATAAGCTCTAAATTGAGGCACAAAGGCAGATGGAGTCCTTTGTGATAAGCCACACCTCACTGCTGTTTTTCTTTTGGTGGGGTGAGGGGATATGATTAATAATTCTCCCTAACAAATCTGGAACGTCCTGCTTAACTTCTGAATACTACCTATCAATTCTAGTCAAGTCTTATAAAGAACATTTTAGTAAGCACTAAAAGCTCAAATGTTCAATTATTTTAAAAACAACTTGAAGTTGTTTTCGGAACACAAAAAACTGATAGCTATCTGTTTAAAGGACTTTTTTTTTTCTTCGAGACAGGGTCTTAGTCTGGTTGCCTAGTCTGGAGTGCAGAGTGACGTGATCTTGGCTCACTCCAACCTCAAATTCCCAGGCTCAAGTGATTCCCCCACCCCAGCCTCCTGAGTAGTACAAATTGCCATGCCCAAATAAGTTTTTGTTGTTGTTGTTTTTTAAAGACAGAGTTTCGCTCTCTCGCCCAGGCTGGAGTGCAGTGGCGTGATCTTGGCTCAAGTGCACCTCCACTTTCCAGGTCAAGTGATTCTCATGCCTCAGCCTCCTGAGTAGCTGGGATTATAGGTCTGTGCCACCACGCCCAGCTAATTTTGGTACTTTTAGTAGAGACTGGGTTTTGCCTGTTGGCCAGGCTTTTTTCAAACTCCTGGCCTCAAGTGATCTGCCTGCCTCGGCCTCCCCCAGTAAATTTTCAAATTATTTTTGTAGAGATGGGGTCTTGCTGTATTGCCCACGGCCTAACTGAATCCTCCTGCCCTGGCCTCCTAAGCGCTGTAATTATGGGTGTGAGCCACTGCGCCCAGCCTGCTTAAAGGAGTTGAAATGCTCAGTTTACAAGTGACTATAAAACCAATACTGCCACTTATTTCACTTTTAACCACTATTTACTATACTCTTAAAATATCACTCTGAAGAAAAGTTCTAAGCTCCAAAAATAGTGTATCTTTTGCTGAAACTCACATTTTAATTCTTTCCTCCTTAAAATACTGGTGAATGATAAGGAACTGCATGACAAACTAACAACTGTAACTTGGAATTTTAAAAATCAATCTAAATTGACCCTAAAACATGCATTGATCAATGGCCAAGGTAAGGAAGGGATGAACAAACGGGAAGACTTAAAAGCTGACCAACCACCTCTTTCAAGTTGTATTTCAATGCATTTTTATTTTTGGGCTGCTGCTTAAGATCTTACAAATAATTATTTGGTATTAAAAAGTTTGAAACAGCCCACTGTTTCAAAACTACTCAAAAGAAATTCCCCCTATATTTACCATTTAGCCCAGAAATTTTCTAACTGTACCTATGGAGCCAACCATGTGAGATTCTGCTGGGACAAATACAGGCCATATAAGCTTAGTAAAATGGGTCCCTGTATTCACAAACACCTAGGTTTCAAATTCTGACTCTACCACAAAAACTAGACTTAACTGAGAGTCTGATTTTCTTATCTATTAAATGAAGCAAGTGATGCTCATGATGTGAAAGTTGAATATACATTAAGTTCTTAGCACAAAAACTGCCTCATTTTTGAAATACAAATATGGCAAAGTTGCTGGAAAACATGTTCACTCATGTCTTTTGGAGTCTGAAAATTCTACAAATATTAAGACTCACAGTATACCCTCTTTATCTCACTCTCCATGTGACAAATCCCAAAACCATTAGGGAACAGACTCAAATGGTGTATTAAAGCAGCACAGATTCAAAGTCCCCCTCTATCCCTCAGTGAACTGAGAAATTCTAGGCTGCATCTACTATCATACCTGTCATCCATTCCACCACTACACCTCATTCTCATAGAGCTTTTTCTGTAACAGATTCTAAAATGTTATTGATTTTCCAAAAGTAGTTTCTTTCCCAAATATCCCTCAAAGGTGACATACCTTTGGCTGTGATGAAACAGGAGGAGTACTGATCAAGGGTTTGATAGGGACTGTGTTAGTTTGAGGTGTGCTTATTCTTGGAGAAACATATGATCTTGGTGATGACGCATCAGACGTTAAAGACATCGGAGACTGATTAGATGGCTGGGCTGTAAAAGAGGGAAGCAATTAATTTTAAAGAAAAACAAAACAAAACAAAAAAACTAAGTCCTTTGTAATATATGTGGTAACAATCTTTGTATCACTCTAAACCCCCCACCCCCATATTACCCAGAGAACACTTATCGGAATAAATCAGAATCTGACCTTCTCACTGGGCCACACTGACTAAGTGAGCTGTGTGTTCAGAGGTAAGCACACCCAGTGTGGCCCACTCTCCTTTATGTGGCTGGAACAGGAAGCTAGGCCTGAACCTATTCTCACATGGAAGGCCTCCTCACCATCCTTATTTCTTCTTTCTTATTCTACATTTAGGCCCAGGTATCCCACGCAGTCTCCTGCTCATGAGGCTAGCCAGAGGGTTGCAAGAGTCTTTGCACCATTATACTTCCATTCCAGACAAGGCATTCCTGCTGTTTATCAGCTTTCTGACAAAGTGACCCTTTCACTTCCCATTTGCTCCTACGTGTATCTCTCTCCATTTGGATACCTTCATGAAGAGGGATATCTAATTCAAGGCAGAAAATGAGCATTTCCATATTATCCAGTCAAAAAACATCTAACGTCAATCTGAACCAAACTTCAACTCTTCAAATACATGCAATGTTCACAAAGATATATGGCATATCATAGTTTACTTTCAGCTTTGGCATAAAAAAACTCATTAACAAAGTCTGAATTAAATGCTGTATTAAATAATTACAGATTTGATGGCAATACCTTAAGACAAATGTCAAAACTTGCTTCATCTAAAAAGAAAGGAAATAAAAATACTACTGTATATGCCAGTGTTACCAAAAAAAAATTGTAGCTAATCTCTTAAAAAACAAAAAAAAAAAGAAGAAAAAAACTACATACAAAAAGGGTTATTAATTCCAAAACAAAATCAAGATACCACTGTAGAGATATCTAAGATGAGTAAGAATACCTTGTGTAGAGAGCTGAGCAGCCTGAGAAATCAGAGACGTTATGTTGAAAGCAGATGGTCCAGCAGTAAGAAACTTATGAATTATAGACTGCAGAGAGGCTTGTGTCACAGCTGCTGTAAGAACTAAAAACACATTATTTCATACATTCGTATAAAAACAAGAGGCTTATGTGGCATTAGTAACAACTTGACAAGGAAGAGAACCCACAAGAAACTGGAATATTTCAACCTAGAACTCTCAAAATAAAAGCCTACTAGGAGTAATACAATGGGTCCCAAGATTTGAAACAATCTGAGGCAGAGAAAAAGAAACTTAATGGGTTTACAATAAAGGTAAACCAACAGAATTTCTTTTACACTAATAAATTAAGATGATCACCTGAACAAAGTCTCTCTACAAAATTGAATGAGTGTTCATAGGAACTTCCAATTACATCAGAAACCTATTTGTGAGTGTTCAGTATGTTATATGAAATTAACTGGATAAACGATTGCTATTTCATATGACTGCCTTTTTAGACAAGCTGGCCATTCAAATCCTACATCAAAATCCACCATAATAATCTAAAAATGGATAAAAAAAGGGAGTATTGGCTGGACATGGTTAGCTCACACCCAGCACTTTGGGAGGCCAAGGCGGGTGGATCACCTAAGGTGAGGAGTTCGAGAGCAGCCTGCCCAACATAGTGAAACGCTGTCTCTATCAAAAATGCAAAAAATTAGCTGGGCATCGTAGCAGGTGCCTGTAATCCCAGCCACTAGGGAGGCTAGGGCAGGAGAATAGCTTGAACCTAGGAGGCGGAGGTTGCAGGGAGGCGGAGGTTGCAGTGAGCGAAGATTGTGCCATTGCACTCCAGCCTGGGCAACAAGAGCAAAAACTCCATCTCAAAAAAACAAAAAACAAAAAAAAACCCCACGTATTTAGAAATACCATGTATTTTTGATGTGTTAGATATTTTATTATTGACATTAACTATTATTTCTTCAAGCATTTATTCTGGAGACAGGGTTGTGCAATCACAGCTCACCACAGCCTTCACCTTCCAGGCTTAAGTTATTCTCCCACCTCAGCCTCCCAAGTAGCTGCAACTACAGGCGTTCACCACCACGCCTGGCTATGTTTTTGTATTTTTAGTAGAGATGGGGTTTCACCATGTTGCCCAGGCTGGTCTCAAACACCTGGGCTTAAGTGGTCCACCAGTCTCGGCAAGTGCTGGGATAACAGGCATGAGCCATGGCATCTGGCCTCCTCAAACTATCTAAAAGCCCCACTTTGCCTAAATGAAACATTTACCTACCATACAAGAGAACTGTGTGGTTAGAGAATAAAATAAAAATACAAAGAAATTAAGGACAGTAAGAACAGACTAATGACCAACTAGCCTGAGATAGCTTTATTTTTAGGATAAGAACTTAACCACTTAACACTACTTTTAAGTATATTATGTGAAAATGTACACAAAAAAATTGATCATTTTATTTTTATTTATTTATTTTGAGATGGAGTCTTGCTCTGTCAGCTAGGTTAGAGTGCAGAAGCACCATCTCAGCTCACTGCAACCTGCGTCTCCTGGGTTCAAGCGATTCTCGTACCTCAGCCTCCTGAGTAGCTGGGATTTACAGGCATGTGCCATCACGCCTGGTTAACTTTTGTATTTTTAGTAGAGACAGCGTTTCACCATCTTGGTCAGGCTTGTCTCAAACTCCTGACCTCAGGTGATCCACCTGCCTTGGCCTAAAAATTGATCATTCTCAACAGAAAATTTTGCAATGCTCTTAGGAATTAACATGTGACTCTGAATAGTTTGCAAATTAAACCGCATCTATTTTTATTCAGACTTTTTCAAAGCGGCTGCCTAAATATTCTGAAACATAAATAGTATTACTGAAAAGCAAGGCTGGAATTAAATAATGCAATTCACCAGAAAAAAATGGCAGTATTTTATCTAGTACCCATCTCCTCCCTTCTCAGAATTTTTTAAAAGTGTTTTAAGTAGCTACCCGAATTCCTACTTTTCTAGTAATTAGCATATTTTAAATATTCTGAGTAATTATTTATACAGATTTTTTAGAAACATACCAGAAGTTTTTATACCAATTTCAACAAATGCTCTACTGTTTTGATGTAAAATTTCACCATAAACATTACATACATAGAATGGCTTATCTCCAGTAACTACCAGACGCCTAACAAGTATTGAAAAATATACACAAGATCCAAGCACCACTAACTCAATTATACTACCAATGGTCTTAAACTACAATGGATATAAATTTCCAAACTCAAACCAAAACAAAACAATATTCAACTATAAATTTCAAAAGAAAACAAAGACCATTCCTAAACTGAGGATTTTACTACTTACATAACTTTGCACAATGCAAATAAATTTTTAAAAACTTACGAAGATTTACCTTCATTTATTTTAGATATGTCCACATTAGAATTATTAAGCTGCAGCGTGGCTTGCAAAGCAGGAAGCAATTGTCTAAGAAGATTTGGGTCCTGAAGTAAGGGAGGTATCGGTGACTGTGGAACAGGAGAAACAGGGACCGCTGAAGCAGATGTTGGAGGTGCAGATGTGGGGTTCAGTCCAGAGGCAGAAGATGTGGAAGGAGTTGTACAAGAATGTGATACGGATTTGTCTCCTGATGTAGATTCTAAATAAAAAGACAATAAGCCTGAAAAATTACTTGAATAGAGAAAATTAGAACAAACATCAAAAGAACATCTCTCATGTGCCAGGCGCCTAACATAAGTAATCTCATTTAACCCTTACACTGGCGCACACAGAGGATGCTCAGTAAACATTCAAGTGACTAGAATAATGATTTAGACATTTCTCACCCTACTTTGTAGGTAAGAAAGCTGAACAACAAAAGTCAGATAAACCTGAAGCCATAAAACCTGGTAAATCATTTTCATATCTGATTTGAAAAGTACCAATCTGTCCACTAGCAACGCTATCTCAAAGACAATTATTTATTAACCACATATTCAAGTAAGCCTCCATTAGGATAAAGGGACAATATTATTCTACAGAATTTAATTTATATCTCATAAAATAAGGTGAAAAATGTTTATGGCCACAATAACAACCTACCTAAATATGACATTGGTCTTAACACAAATCAGGATAGGTACCAAGGTGGTTACAACCAGAATGGGCTAAAGACATGATGAGAAAAGACTTTTATACTTAATAACTGAGTTTTGTAACTACATACTTCCCTTCTGTAATTCAATATATAAGGCAATGAGCTATTTGTTTCAATTAAAGATTATTAAAATTTAAAAGGACATTTTCATAGTAAAAACAACCCACCTTACAGTATTTAGAAATAAAGGATGTATAAAATGTGCATGGAAAATTATTTGAAAGCTGTTGTTTCAATTATTTATATAGATTTAAAGTACCTGTAATCAAAGCCCCAAGAGCACTGTTAACAGTATTTGACAAGCTAGTAACATAAATCCTGAAGATTCCATATCCTGAAGAAAAAGAACACTGCCAGCAGGACATGTCCTGCCAAATTTTTTAAAACTTACATTTAAAACAAAGCCAGTTAAAGGTAGACTGAACTTTTGTGCAGGTATTTAAGTCTTTAAAACTATTAGAGGAAAACACAGAAAGGTATCTGTAACACCAAGCAGAAGACGTGTCAAGTTACAAAAAGCAAAACAATTATATTCAAAGTGGTAATCAGAATATTTAAAGAACTTCTATAAGTCAAAAAAGACAAACTGTCCAATAGAAAAATGTACAGAAGACATTATTTCAAAGAAGGAACTTGAATGCCTAGGAAATTCAAGAAAAGATGCTCAACTTCATTATCAGGAAAATGTAAAATAAAGCAACATAACTCTTTACACTCACCATAATGCAAAAATTGAAAAGTTAGACAATACCAAATGTTGGCAAAGAGTAATGAGAACATTTACTTAACATTTCTGGTGGATAATAAATTGATACAACCACACTGGAAAGTAATTTGGCATTATTTAGAAAAGTTGAAGAGACAAACACTACATGACCCAGTAATTCCCCTTTAGGTACACATCCTCAGAGAAACTCAGATATATGTAAATCAGGAGAAATATTCAAAGACTATCAGAACAGCATTGTTTGCTTTATTTTAGCACAAAACTAGAAACGATCTATTTAAGATTTTCAAGATCATATATACAGTAATAGCAAGCTTACTGAAAACAGACTTGCCTATGAGTCTTTTTACACTACTATAATGCTCAAAAGAACTAGGGATAATAGCTCTCTGAAGTGTGGATCTTATACCTGATTTAAGTACGGTTCAAAAATGTGTTGATTAACCATGATGAACTCAGAAGGACTAAGATATTTTTATTTGTGTAAGGGTATACACTTTTAAAGGAGGGTGCTTGAATCCAGCAGACTGCCTATTATTTTCAGCTTTGCTGTTCTGGAGTCATAGACAAGCATAAAGAAACTCGAACAAAACGATAAAAGTTTTCCTTGCGAAAATTCTGCTGTCAGATGGATGTGGTGGCTCATGCCTATAATCCCAGCATTTTGTGAGGCTGAGGCAAGGTGATTGCTTGAGCCCAGGATTTCAAAGACCAGCCTGGGCAACATGGGAAAACTCTGTCTCTACTAAAAATACAAAAAATTAGCCAGGTGTGGTGGCCTGCGCCTGTGGTACCAGCTACTTAGGAAGCTGAGGTGGGAGAATCACCTGAGCCACGAAGTCGTGGCTGCAGTAAGCCGTGATCAAGCCTCTGCTATCTAGTCTAGGCAATGGGAGTGAGACCTGGTCTTTATTTAAAAAAACAAACGAACAAACAAACAAACAAAAAAACCCACTGCTGTCAGCTATTGTATTTTACGCGGCAATCAATTAGAGTCTATTAGCAGTATTCTCCAGATCGCATCCCTCTTAAACGTTCTTTCACATACAATTTGGGGGCATCCTGATTAATATTAATAATGAAATACACTGTTTCTACTTACTGCATGAATTAAACTAGTATTAATATCCCCCTGAAATTATCTTCATTCTTTATTTCTGTAAATTTTCTTCTGCTTTTAACAGAAACAAGTTGGAGAAGAAAGTGCAAGGTGTTTACAACTTTATTTGATGCTACCAAATCTACGAGACATGAAAAATTAACAGAAGGGCTTAAAACTCCTTCAGTGTTGCTCATCAAGACAAGCAAAAGGGAAAATACTCCAAAATCAAAAACAAATACACATCATCATCAACAAAAAATAGCAAAAACATCCTTAATTTCTATTTAATAAGTTTATTTACCCCAACAATAGACTTCTTTTGCAGTTTTGGGGAATTATAGGTGAGTAGTGTGGAAATCAGTTGATCTTACTTAGTATTTATGGGACTGTTGGGCAAGTGACATCTCTGAAGGCCAGAATTTCTCTATGAAAAGGTTTGGTTTTATTAAACCTTCTAAGAAAGGTGTTAGTCCTCAACAGACTGCTCATCGGAATCACTTTTAAAGTTAAAAAACTAAACGAAACAGATACCTGGGCTCCAAGCCACATCTACTGAACGGAAGCCTGGGCATATCTAACAACTTGTAAAAGTTCTATGTGTGATTCTGGCACTACTTGCTGTTTATGCAAAAATAGACTGGAGAACCTCCAAGGTTCCTTTTAACTTTAAAAACAAAAGAAAAACAAAGCAAAAAAGAAAAAATATAGCGCAACGTGGGGAACTGAGTTGAATAAGGATACAATCAAGGACAGAAGCAAAATCTTTTATCCAGCAGGTCTTCAGCATGCTGTATTTACACTTTATTGCTCCACTCACTCAACCAAAGACACACATACAAACGTCCTTTCATAGCATGTTGCAAGCTATTTACATATTTCTTATGTCACATGCCTCAATCTACATAAATAATACTAATAGCGGACTGAGTTTCATAATACAAACATAAAATGCTATTCTGAGAGGTAGTTTTTATAGTTTTATCACTGAAATATTATAAAAGGTAGAAGTTTTATATTTAAAGTGTTGGTTGGGTGCCCCTTCCCTTTGGTTTGGAGTGCCCTTACTCCAAATCTAGCATATTACTCAGTATCCTCTATTACATAACATTTATTATCCCTCCTTTGTACTAGGAACATGAGCTTCCTCAGGAGAGGAACTGTGTTGTACTTTTTTTTTTTTTTTCTGAGATATAGTCATTCTCTGTCACCCAGGAGTGCAGTGGCGCGATCTTGGCTCACTGCAATCTCTGCCTCCCAGGTTCAAGTGATTCTCCTGCCTCAGCTGGGATTACAGATGCATGCCACCACACTCAGCAAATTTTTTGTATTTTTAGTAGAGATGGGATTGTGCCATGTTGGCCAGGCTGGTCTTGAACTCCTCGCCTCAACTATCTGCTCATCTCGGCCTCCCAAAGTGCTGGGATTACAGGCATGAGCCACTGTGCCCGGCCTGTTGTACTTTTCTCTGTAGCCCTTGTAGAAAATAGGACTTGGCACCAAAATGGCATCAACATAAACTTGTTGCCTGGATGCCAGTTAATGACAGCATTCTTCAATACAGGTAACAGGAGCATGTACACGTGCATTTGCATTTAACTTCTAGGCCAATCATCTTTATTGGCCTCAAAACTGATAATGCTAAACAAACAAAAAAAAACTTGATAATGCTGGGAAGGTAGGCCTTATGCTTCCATCGATGTAACAGTCAACGAAAATGATGAACAGCTCATTTTATGCTATATTCATAAAGCTAAATAACACTATGTAAAGACAAATTTAAGTTATTTTAAATAATCTTATAAAAATAACTCAAACCGCCTTTTGTAAACACAAAGGCAATAAAACTTTGGAATAATTTTTAAAAAACAGTGTATTTTTAGTATACAAATACCTAATTTTCATTAACACTTTCATTTGTCTGAAACCTTTTAGGCTAATTTGTTAGGATATGAGGCTAACATGCTTAATAACATGTTTTACATGTTTGCAACAAACTGAACATAAATACAAAATCCACATCTTTGAAAACAGCTAAACACAAATGAACTTACATAAGAGAGAATGCAGTGTTTCTCATTAACAACTCAGTTCAATGCATTCTTCTGCTCTTGAAGAGTATCAGCCCGACTCTCATTGCTTCAATGCAAACTTTTCCAAGCATTCAGGAAACCTAGACTACAGATCAAGCTCGTCCATGAGGCCTAGGACAGCTTTGAATGTGGCTCAACACAAATTTGTAAACTTTCTTAAAATATGCAATTTTTAAAAAAGCTCATCAGCTTTCATTAGCGTATTTTATGTGTGGACCAAGACAATTCTTCTTCTTCTAATGCGGCCCAGGGAAGCCAAAAGATTGGACACTCCTACTTTAAATGGTCTTTCATAATCACTTTTTGGTAATGGAATACCTGGTTTTAGCTCTAGTGCTGACTTGTGTGTGCCTATGATCTTTCAAAAGATATTTTGTGATCTCTTCCTAAGCTATTTTAAACCTTCCTTCACTCTCCCATTTGATATTTCTGTGCCTTGTGTATCTCTGACCAATTATTTGGTATGTGCTATAAATGTCACCCTTCAATTTTAAGTTGTAGGTATTTGCTTTAAGAGACAACACTTCTTAATGCTTTGTAATTATACATAATTCACTTGTATTTCCAAATTCTGCTGGGGTGG